TCCAAAATGGCCACAGAGTTCCTGTTCAGAAACTGTGACCCAAATGAGCTGGTCCAAGGACAGTTTCTTAAGAGAATGTTAATAAAACATTGAAAAACACAACCCTTAAAATTGGTGATTAATGGAAACCTGAATGTCAGAGCTCGAATCAACTAATCGTTCACGGGCCAATCCAAAACAACCTTGGAAGTTAGTTACCCAGCCCAACTCCTTCATCTCACCGATGAGGAAACAGGCACCCAGAGAGAAGCTTGTCCTCGACCGTTACAACATGCCAAATGGGGTCACAGCGGTGTCAGTACAACAAGCCAAATGGTGGTAGAGTGTTTTGTTTGTGAATTTGTCAATCACAGCAACACTAAAAGATCAGTCCTCTATGATTCCTATTTTGTATGTAGGGCTACAAATTGTCTAGAGGTTTAGGTACCTGCCCAGAGTCCTACAGTTCATAAATTTCTGTCCTACCCCAACCCCACTCTGGGCTCAGGAACAAAAGACCTGAATCTTTTCATGCATAGAGACTCCCTAGAAATGTGAATGACTGGGCCCAATTCTTCCCAGCACTAAGTCTAAGCATGGCCCTGTCCTGCCGGTCCCCTCTGTCCATAGTTTCCCCTTACCTGAATCCTGGTCACAGAGAGAGAAGACATGGAGGGGGGAGGAATAACCCTAGTCCTTGATCCAAGTGACTCCTGCAGTATCTCTCCTTTAGTGACCACCAACAAAAACCTGCCTCTTCAGTCCCAAAGATACACTCTTTCCCCATGTAAGGCATCTCAGTTAGTGTTCCCATTCTTTAGGATTCTGTGAGTCCCATTATGATAGACAGATAGACAGATAGATAGATAGATAGATAGATAGATAGATAGATAGATAGATAGATAGATAGATACATAGATACATAGATACATACATAGATACATAGATAGATAATAGATAGATAGATAGATAGATAGATAGATAGATAGATAGATAGATAGATAGATGGATGGATAGATAGATAGATAGATACATAGATACATAGATACATAGATACATAGATAGATAATAGATAGATAGATAGATGGATGGATGGATAGATAAATAGATGGGTGGATAGGTAGATAGATGACAGATAATGCAATGCACACATACATAGATGACAGACTAATGACAGAAGAATGGATACAAGATAGCTCAATTACAGACTGAGAGTTGTATAAGAAGAAAAGAACGAAAAAGAAATAATAAATAATAAAGAAAAATGGCCATGACCAGAGGAAATAGATATAAGAGAGAGAGACAAACATCTACACAGACTTTTCCTCATCAAGTACAACTAGTAACAAAATCAATAATCATCTTCCATTCCCATGGCATTTCATAAAATAAAGATTACTCCAGTGTCAGGAAGAGAAGGGAAGGCTTACTTTCAAAGTAGTTTAACCTGAATAACTATGGAAGGAAATGAAAACCTATCAACAGTGCTCTGCCTCCCACGTACGGAAGCCAGTGTCAGGGAATTACAAACCCAAGTCCCCTAAATTCAGTGAAAAGTCACTTCAGGATGACTGAAGTTCCAAAGTGGAGAATTCAAAACGTTGCCCACACTCCATCACGCTTCTGACTGCAGCCTCAGCTCTTGCAAAGTGAAGCTAAGCTAGTAACCATGTTGAAGAGCCAAAGAGAAGATGTGGGGTGCTTCCAGCAAGCCTAGTGAAGGTGCCACCCTCTTCTCAGAATCATCCCCCTGCCTCCAAACTGGCACCTTCTGTATAGGAGGCCCTGTCACACCCCATTTAGCAGTTCAGGGGAACAGGCCCTTCCTGGTCCAGCCTCAGCTCTTTTCCCAGGTACAACTGAGAACCACTATCCCTTTTCCCCCAACTTCAGCCTCTCTAACATCAGTGTCTTCCCTAGTTCTCTCCTATGAATGGGTACCCAGGGAAATCCTGAGGAAGACCAGACACTCTCCAGTGACCCCAGGTTGCAATAAGCAACCCCCAAGGTTTTCCAGGATGTTTTATGTCTCTTCCCTACCCCCATCCCACAAGAGAGAAGATCCACCTTTTAAATGATGGCTTAGCTTATGCAAATGTCCATTCCCAAAGGAAGCCAGCACCCCTGTGCCTATGGTTACGAAAACACCATGGCAGTTTTTGAGAGCAAAGGCTCAAATATTCCCTCTCGGTGGACAGCATCTGAATGTGAATATCTAAATTCTGAGACGACTGTGGTAATTTTTATGATTTCTATTTCCTCCTGTTAGTGGGGAGGGATCTTTAATTGCTTAATCTAGAAAGTGGAAGCTGTAGGCATTGTTCTTTGAGGTGTTAGAAAATAACTCAGTGATCAGGTAAAGACTGAACTGCAATGGGTGAAGGAAGGGAGGTGGAAGGAATCAGACTGAAGCCAACATTGTAGCAAGACTGAAGAAGGAAAGCAATCTGGCACAGGGATTTGGGAGTCCCCAGCGCCAGACCGCTCTCCTTCATCCCAAACTGCGTTTTGCTCCAGAGCTGCCAACACGGTTTCCCCAAATGCATCCTGTCTTCATCATCTGGTCTGCCACCGGCCCTCTCACCAGCACCATAACTGGGCTGGGAAAAGGGAATTCATTATGGCTGTGATGCCCAGCCCACCTTCCCCAGTGTTCTGACGGCTGCAGGAGACAGTCTCCCAGTCCGCGCTGGCATGTGTATGAATACTGAAGGCTCTAAATTTGTTGCAAGAAGCCCTTGGAGGAACTCATGCTGCCCAGATAGGGTGGACCTGGGTTTGATGTAGTGAACAGGAGAATGGAGGGGAGGGAGGGAAGAAAGCAGGGGAGGAGTGTGATCCAAGCTCACTCATTCTGGCAAAAGTTTACAGAAGCAGGGTGCCAGATACATCGTGGGGATGTGAGGCAAACCTCGGGACCTTCCTAGCCTTCCCTTCCTCTCAGACAAAACCCGTTCACGGTGGAGAAAGCATCTTTCATCAGTCATTCATCTCGCGTTATCTGACTGTAGACATGTGGGCTTTTACACTAGAACCCATTTCCAGTTTGAGAGACTTCGATCCCACGTTGAAGGAGTGTGAGAACACACCAGTCAGATGGAGCCGTTTCTGGCAAGCTGGCAGGACTTCTCAGCTCTGAAGTGCTTTAGTCACGTGAGAATCTGCACCCCTGAGTGGAGAAGAGGAGATGAGGGAACCCCCACGGTTTAGAGAGATGTTGGAAGAGACGGTTGAGCTGGATTGCTGGCACTTAGGTTACATACAAGTACACCTTCTGTTACCGTGACGAAATAGCTGCAAACGGCTAGTTTATAGAGGAACAGTGTTTATTTAGCTCAATTTAGAAGGTACAAGGGTCTGAATCGTTAGTGATCCCGTGTGGGCGAAGTCCCAGATCGGCGCCGGGAATTGCTCAGGCGTGTCTGGCCTCTCCTCCTTTTTTGAAAAATGCACGGAGACCCAATCACAGATACACCACGCAAACTACCTCTTCTAATGTAGCCACCACCCTAAGGCACCACCATGCACACCACAGTCAGGTTGAGGTGCCACGCTCCCAACCTTACCAGGGACCCTGGGGACACATTCAGCCGAATCCAAACCGAAACTCTGCCACAACAGTTTCAATGGGGGTTCAGTGGGTGGGGGGGGGGGGGGGGGGGGGGGGAGGGTGAGTTTGCAGGATAGAAAATCATGTGACATGCTGCGGAAGCTGAGACTCCTTAGTGAACAAAGCTCATGAAATCTCAGGTGCCTGAAGCAGCACTGACCTGCAAGTGAAAACCCAAGCTCTTGTAAACTAATTGACTCACCTCTCCCTCCAAGCCTCAGCTTTCTAATCTGTAAAATGGGACTAATAATCAGTGTGCGGGGTTGTGGTGTTGCTTCAGCCTGATGAGAAGAGTTAAAAAGACACACACACACACACACACACACACACACACACACACAGGCGAGTAAGGATAGATAATTGTCATCCCAACAAGCAAACAATAGCACTTACCAAACACCCAGAATATGCTGGACATCGATCCAGTGCAATCCACACCTGCTCTCCTTTAACCCTTTGAAAACCCCTGTGAGGGAGCTAATGTTATTACCCTCATTTTGTAGACAATAAAACAGAAATACAGAAAGGTTAATAATTCACTTGAGGTCACACAGCTAGAGAAAGGCTGGATTTGAAAATGATACACCACTCAATAAACTATGGTTTGTGCTTGTTTCTTCTCAAGTGTCCCTGTTCTCTGGTTTAAATAAGAAGGGTAATTATTAGAATGACAGTTATTAGCCCAGTGTGGTGATACTTGCCTGCAATCCCAGCACTCAGGGCGTAGAGGCAGGAGGATTGCAAATTCACAACGTGAACCTAGATCATACAATGAATGAGTCTCTGTCTTAGAAAACAGAGCAAGAAAAAAAAATACTATCCTGTATCACTTCTTTGAGCTTGTGTGTGAGAGCTATATGTGTATATGTGTTCACAAGTATGGATGGGTGCACTAGCAAGTGTGAATGTATGTTGGGGGCCAGAGTGTGACAATTTGCGCCGTCCTCAATTGCTCTTCACCTTAATTTTTGAGATAGGCTCTTTTGTCGAACCTTGAGCTTGCTAATTGGGCTAGACTAGCTGGTCAGCAAGCTCCCAGGACTCCTCATCTCCATTCTAACCTTCACCCCAATGTGCTGGCCTGCCTACTTTTTAAATGGGTGCCCGGGATCCAAATGCAAATTCTCACACTGGCATAGCATGCACTTTACCCTCTGAGCCATCTCCCCAGCCCTGGGACATTTTTATTTATGCAGACTTCACCTAAATTTACCATTAACTTCAACACACGTGCATGCATGCATGCACACACACACACACACACACACACACACACACACACACACATATCATATTCCCCTCCACTGAGAGCCAAGCTGGAGAGGGACACCGAGTACTGAGTACAGGAAGGACAGGAATGGATCACCTTGGCTTCACCGTCCTTTCTAACTGTCGCTAATACTAGGTGCCTGGTCTTGAGCAGCCATGACGATGGAGGTGCTCCCCAAGACCCTGGAGGTAGACGAGAAGTCTCCAGAGTCCAAGGACCTCCTGCCCAGCCAGACAGCCAGCTCCCTGTGCATCAGCTCCAGAAGTGAGTCTGTCTGGACCACCACTCCCAGGAGCAACTGGGAAATCTACCACAAGCCCATCATCATCATGTCAGTGGGCGCTGCCATTCTGCTCTTTGGTGTGGCCATCACCTGCGTGGCCTACATCTTGGAAGAGAAGCATACGGTTGTGCCAGTCCTCAAGATGACAGGGCCTGCCTTCCTGTCCTTGGGACTCATGATGCTGGTGTGTGGGCTGGTGTGGGTGCCCATCATCAAAAAGAAGCAGAAACAAAGGCAGAAGTCCAGCTTCTTCCAAAGCCTCAAGTTCTTCCTTCTGAACCGCTGAAGGCAATCTGACCAGGAGATCTACTGACCAACATCCGGCCTGCTAACCTTCTCCGTGGGGTACAACCAAGCTGATTCAGGCAAACCCTCTTGGCCCTGAGAGCAGGACAGAGCTCAGGGCTTCACCCTCACACAACCTCGCAGTGTTGCTGGCTGAGTTTCACCTGGTTTCTCCATCGCTGCTGATGCTCCCTTGGGTAGTCTCGATGTTCGCATCCCTGGCACCTGCATTTAGCCATCATTCATCCCACTTTCTCTGCCAAGGGCAGTGCATGCTGGGAAACTCTTTGGGGGCTGACTATGCTCCCAAGAAGAACTTCTTGCTGGAATTGCGTGTCTGAGCTGGAGTCCCCATCGGCATCCTTCTGGAACTAAAATTGATCAAGGATGGAAGAATGACCTCAGACCCACTGGGTTTGACAGTCTTGACGCCCTCCTTGGGTGAGACATTGACTAGCATTACAAGGGACAGAATAATTCTCATGTACCAAACATTCCAAAATCTGAACAGTGATGGGGGTTGTAGGCGGGGGACACTGTCCAGGGCAGATCATTCCTCTGGGCATAGCTCTAGAAGTCAGCTAGCCAAGGAAGTTCATTCCCGAATCCATAGTATTGACACCAGCGGCAATAGCATAGGCTAAGCGGTGTCTGTTTCCCCTTGACCCTCCAATGCCCTTCTCACGGACTGCCTTCATCTTGGCAATTAGCCAAGAACAAATGCTCCTTGTTCTAACTCCTTTCCCCTATCCCATCTCTGTCTCTATGCATTGCCAGAACAGAAGGAAGGAAAGGTCACAGATTGGACCTTGCCCTTCCTCTCAATCATGACCCAACCTGAGATGGGACGCCATGTCTGAGTGTTCCATGGAATTCCAGAGATAGCTTCACCAAAGAGGACCCCAACCTCTATCGCCCCTGCTCCTCCCCACAAGCAAGAGAGTATTTATTGAGTTTTCTTCTCTGGGCCTAGGTTGGGAACAGCCAGACCCAGTCCCTGATCTCCTCTTCCTTCTAAAAGTGAGAGAGAGGCAGACATAAGCAAGCCAGTTGGCACTACCCCATGTTGAACTCTTAGGGTGGCTATAGGAACACATGGGTCCAACATAAATTTAAAGGAAGGCAGAGAGGTTTCTGGAGACCATTCTGGTTCCTCCTAAAGACAAATGGAAAATAAGTGTTGGGAAAGGGTAAGGTGGACAAGGAAGGAGCAACTTTTACCTTGCATGTGAAAAGGCTGGGCAAAGAGGCCTCATGGAGTTAGGAGTCTGCATAGCTCCTGGATGCTGTTTCATCCCCTCTTGTCTACTTCCCTCCTGCTTTCCCAAGTGCCTTACATCCAGCTTCTCCTTGGTACACTGCAAGCTGCTGGGGTCTATAGAGACTGGGAGAGGCATCTCCAGGGGAACCCACCAAGTAGATCTAGCCCAAGAGGTAAGTGCCCTCAAAACTCCTTATAGACACCAAGAAGACATTCGGTGAAAAGCCAGGTGCCCATAACAGATCCCCCAAGCTGTGCCAGGCCAGACCAGAGACTAGGGGAAAGCACCTGATAACAGGGTGAGTGACAAGAGCTGCATTCGTTCCAGTTGACTCCCTTCATCCCTAAACCTTCAGACACTTGGGATCATCATGGCAACCTTCCTCCAAAGTCTCAGAACTTTCATAGGCAGAGTCAGAATTCATATTTATTCCTGTTGCATTCTGGGGGAAATCCATGGAGGCAGTATTTTTCTCATGATCTCTCTCTCTCTTTCACACACACACACACACACACACACACACACACACACACATTCTTAACTAAAGAGTCAGAATTTGGGGAGCCTCTGGCCTTTCAAAGCTCACTTCAGATAGCCATGTCCTTCATTAAGACTCCTGTACACCCATCCCAGCACGCAGGCAGATCAGGACCAAATCTGGGGTTATTTCAATGTTATCACTAATTTGAGTGTTAGTACCTCGGAAACAGGACTGACATGGAAGGTAGGCCCTCTGACGAGGCCTCTCATTTCCTGGTGCTTTCATGGAAGGGAGCACGCAGATGAGCGCCCAGCCAGCTCACTTGGAGTCCACACCCCACAAACCTCATTATCCTCAGAGCTCATTATCTATGCACAGCTCTGAGGGGAGGGTCTTTGCAAACATCACTATCATGTATGCCTCAACGGAAGGGAGTTCAGGGCTAATCCTGGTGCCAGGAAATCTTCAACTTGTGGATCTCTTCTGCAGCCACATCAGTACCTGCCCATACCCCCCGCCCCTCAAGCTAAGTCCTCAGTAGACAGAAACAAAGAAGAGCCTCTGAGGAAAAAAAATACCAAATATTGGTTACCCCCTACTGGGCTCCCCACCTAAATGAGGGCCAGGAAATGGGCTGAACCACCCCAAAAGCAGCACATCGTGGAACTTTTTGCCAAAGACCATTGCCTCATGAAAGCCTGAGATGGGGGCAATCTGTAAGTGAAGCCAGGCTGGATGCCACCTTTCTGAACCAAAGCATCCTGGGCAATGACGTCAGTCATCTCACTGGTCTGAAGTCAGGGCCAGCATCCACAGCACTATCCCACCAGAATGTATTACCTGCTCCTCCTGAGGCTCCTCTGTTTGGGAGAATTTAATCTAATCTGAAGCCTAAAGGAATTAATGTCATGTCAAATTGTATTCTATTTAACAGTATCTGCCGTGTTTATCCTGTTTCACCAGGCATTTGAAGACAGTACCCACAAACCCCTCCTCCTCTAAAATGCTCCCCCATTGCCATATTTCCTCTCCCAAGAAGGGTGTTGGGGAGAAAAGAGACAGAGTGTCTCTCATGCATGCGTCCTGAGATGCCTCTCTGCAACTGGTGGCTCTCCTCTGAGGTGATGGTGGTGCAGAGGGATCTCACAAGCCCAGTATTGAGACCCAAAACTTGACCTGAAAAAAATTACATTTTAGAGTGAATTTGTGGTCTAGACAAGGGAGGCGGATACCAGGTCTTGGAGAAATGCTCCAAATGCAAAGCAAAGTAGAAAAAGATCCACTGGGGGCTTATTTTCACCTCCCACCCCAGAGGCCTGTCTGTGCTTAGCCTGTGTGGGGACAGCTGTTCATGCCTGAGACTTTCTCCCGAGACTCACAGGCAGCCTCAGAGAATCTGCCAGCCCAAGCAGCAACTGTCACTCTGTAACTAGGTTCCTTAGGTCTCCAGCAAGGAACCTCAGGTCTGAGGGACTATGCTCAGTTCTCCTGCAACCTGTAGGGACATGTAAGAGGGACAGACCCCCAGGCCTTCTCACAGTCCAGGCCTTCTACCCTAAGAGAAAGACAGGTTCACTAAAGGGTACCCCAGAATGAGATCATCTCCCTGTCCTGCAGGTTCCTCTGTAAAAACCACTAAAATGACTGCAAAATAGAAAGGAGAGTCATTATCAATGGTCCTTATCAATCAGTCACTTGTACTAAGTTGGGATTGTCTTCAATAAATGACAAAATGCCAATGGGGACTGTGCTCTTTTCCTGGGATGCATGGGAAGTGTTTCTAGCCACAGCCACATCACCTACTCCTTGAGCTCTGGTCCTCCTTTCCTCTGCTTCTTTTTTCATTCACCATTTTTAACTGACATTCCAATTGCCCGGTCACCCAAGCCCACAGCAAACGTCAGAACCTGGATGACAGAGTGAAGACATAAGCTCTGACTTTCAGAATCAATCAGGCTAATCCCCAGAGATGAGAGACAAGGGAATCTTCACGTGTGATATAGTGTGATCACAGTGGGGGGATCTTCAGGTGTGATGCAGTATGATCACGATGGGGGAATCTTCAGGTGTGATCCAGTATGATCACGGTGGGGGGATCTTGAGGTGTGATGCAGTATGATCATGATGGGGGCATTCTTCAGGTGTGAAACAGTGTGATCATGGTGCGGGAATTACAGATGCTCAGATAATGTTACTCATCTGAGTACCTGCCTCTCCAGGCCTCTGGAATATATATGACAACTTTCACATCAGATTCAGAGGGAGGAGGCCCAGGTAAGAGAAAAGACGGGTTGCCCACTGTCTAGTAGGAGAAGATAACCTCCACTTTGACCTCTGGGTCTACTCTGTTTTGCAGTCTTGCTCTGAAACCCATTCATCTCAGCATTCGAATTGTGGCAGGTGCGTGTTTGTGGAATATACTTGGGTCTACGGGATAAAGGGCTCCCCACGCTTCTGCTTGTCTACACTGCTTGGAGATCCGACCTTCAACACATAACACTGTAGTTCTGTATTTTTCTGGAACTTTCCCTTCCTCAATCCCCATCTTTTTCTTGCTCTAAACAGTTCTCTAGGGATAGAGAGATGGCTCAGTAGTTAAGAGCACTGGCTACTCTTCAAAAGTCCAATCCCCAGTACCCACCTGGTAACTCACAACCATCTATAGCTCTAGTTCCAGGGGGATCCAATACTCTCTTCCAGCCTCTGTGAGCTGACATACATGCAGGTAAGACACCCTTACAAATAAATTAAAAATAAATAAGTCTTAAAAAATTAAGCAGTTCTCTGAAAACCATTTTCATGGCAATGGTTTCATTGTGGCTCTGTGAAAGGGTGCTTCCCCACATCCAATTTCTAATGGACTGTTAGCTTGCTACTATTAGTGTTTAAATGTATTATCTTACAGCCCTGGAGGTCAGAAGTTCAAAACCTGTCTCAGAGGGCTACAGAAAAGCATTGTCAGGACCACCATTCCTTCTGGAAGATCCAGGAAGGAATCCACCCTCTGCTTTATGCAGTTTGGCTGTCTGCATTCCTGCGGGTAGTCATTCTAGCTCCAGAGAGGGGAAGGATTGGGCTTCTTATGTCATCACATCTGTCCTGACCCTCTTGTCTCCTGTCTTCCTGATAAAGTCCTTTGTTCTTGGCCTTATATGGGGCTCTTCTATTGAGACTTTATGTTAGAGCCACAGGGAGAGCCTATCTCAAGTTTAAGTCTTGGTCTTAGTTGGCTAAGACGTCTGTGACAAAATCCCGCAGAGCAGATGGCTTAGACAACAAACGTCTGCTCTCATGGCTGTGGAAGCGGGAAGGTGGAGGTCAGGGCAACAGAACTGGATGCATCTGAGGCCAGTGTCCTTGGCTGGCAGGTGTGTCCCCATGGGGTCCCTTGTCCATGCAGGTCTGTGTCCTAATCTCTTCTTATAGGGCCACCAGCCATGTTTGACTAGGGCTACCCACATGACCTCCTTTAATATGGCTGCTTCTATAAAAGCTTTGTTTCATATAGAGCCCCATCCTGAGGGCCTGGGACAAGGATGTCAACATGTCCATTAGGTAGGGTGCAGGTCAACCTCTAAAACTCTCGGTCACATTGGCAAAGTCCCCTTCTCCACGTGGAACAACCTACGCAAAAGCTCCAAGCTCCAGGGATTCCAATTAGACATCTTTGGGAGGGCTTGCCGTTCACCTGCGGACTGGAAGGATGTCTCAGCAGTTAGGAGTGCTTACTGCTCTTCCTGGGGATCTAAGCTCAGCTCCTAGTACCCACATGGAGTAGGAAACAGTCCCAACTGCCTGCAACTTCAGCTCCAGAAACTCTTCTAGCCACCTTGGGCACCCTTACACAAGAGGCATATATTCATGCAGACACATGAATACATAAGTGGAAATAAAAATACATCTAAAAAAGAAAGAAAGAAAATTTCACTGAACATCCACAGCAGCTTACACTCAATCTATACTAAACTCAATCCCTTCCCCCTCTTAGGTCTCTTACTTCAAGAATAACAGAATCCTCTTAGACCATTCTCCTGATCCAAGCGTCCCTGGGTTGTCTGAAGTTCTTTGTCTACAGGTTGGGTCCCATGAGGTTTCCCCCTTCTCTGTTAGCACTGGTATTGTCCTTATTCAGGTCCTGCTTAGGCAGCCACATAGCTGGAGTATCATGGGTGAAACTTCTCTGTCATTTCTAGAAGACACAGTGTCACAGATTCCCTGGTTTCCTGACCCTTTCAATCTTCCTGTCCCCTCTTCTGAGATGTCCCCTGAGCCTTAGATACAGGGATGTAATGGTCAGCTCTGAAATCACACACATGCAAGCGACACCAAATGAACTAAGCAGGCTGTATTTACATATTTAAGAACAATTAAAGACGAGGGCCACAATTTTAAGGTGAGCAGGGAGGCGGCACGATACATGGGAGGAATAAAAGGGAGGAGAGGAGAGGGGGTAAATGATGGAATTACGTTTTAATTTTAAAAAATTAAAGTAGCCTAATCTTACGGAACAGATGACATGGTATCATATGCAGGCTGAGTATACAGACCTTGGAGACAGCCTACACTTCCTACTGGAAATTTCTCAGTTCCCTGATCTTGGCCAACCTACTTTTCCATGACCCTTATCTTCACAACTGTACAGTAGTTAATTTTTTTAAAAAATGCTTACTTCCTTTGGCATATTACTTGGGAAAGTCCATAAAAGGCTCATACGCCACACTGAGTAAAGTCAGTTGTTATCGCTACAGAAAATTGCCCACAACTGTCCAGATGAGATTGAAATAATCTGCATGATTTCGTAACAGAAAAAAATGTTAAGTCTTTACCACTACTTGTGAGTTGTTTGGAAGTAAAGAACTTGGGGAAGAGGATGGTCACTGTGGACTTTGTTCTTGGGCCAACAGAAGCTTGTCAGAGCAAGGGTTTCCTCTGTCATACCTGACTCCCCACTCCTCCGTGCCTTCAGCGCCTCACTGGCTACCACCACCTTGCCAATTCCTTTAGCACTGAGAAAGCTCCATCCATTACTTCTGCAACAGTTGAACTATACAGGTACAGCAGAGCCTCTTTCTTGAGCCGTGACCGTGTTCTGATGAGCAGAAGACTCCGCAGGCTGGGCCTTTGAGGCTCACATCTTTCTCTCCCTCCACTGTCATCTAGCTCTACACGGAACCACCTGTGAACCTGACATAAACAACTGTATTGAGTAGCTAAGATGTCCAGGCTTCCTTGTTACAGCAGCTAGCATTGCCTCATCCACAAGTCCCTGTCAATGTCCATGTTTATGGGAGCCGTGCAGCCTCTTTCGGATTACCTAGCTTCCTATCTGATTCCTCCCTCCAGCCTGTTCTCTTAGAATTCATGCTCTATGCACCAGGGCAAATGCCCCCCCCCATTTTTACATATGTGTGTATATTAGGCTCACCTTAAGTAGGCTAGGCTGGGCTCAAACTCACCACAGTGTGCTTGCCTCAGTCTCCTAAAGGTCAGGTTTGCAGATGGATAATATCATACCTGCACCGAGTGCAAAATCCTTTCCTGTCATTCCATCATCATTGTTTAGCTTAGCATATGAAATAACAAGTTTCACTGGGACATTTTCACACACACACACACACACACACACACACACACACACACACGCACACGCACAGGCACGCACATACGCACACACCACTGCGCTTTATTCACACAGATTCTCCTTCTCTGTCATATCCTTCCATGGCTCCTTCTCCTGTTGTAAGGTCTGAGCTCCCCGTTTGGCTTTTGACTCCACATCTCCTGCCACTAATTTCCTGGCGTTAAGCCAGACTCCATCCCCACTGTAGCAGTTTGAATAGAAAAAGATGAGCACCCCACTTCCACCCCCATAAGCTCATATATTTGAATGCTTGGTCATTAGGGAGTGGTGCCGCTTGAGAGGAATTAGTGGGTATGGCCTCATCAGATGAAGTGTGTCATTGGGGGTGGGCTTGGCTTTGGGGTTTCAAATGCTCAAGCCAGACCTAGTGTCTCTCTCTTCCTGCTACCTGAACATCTGGCTACCAATCTCAGCTACCACTCCAGCACCATGTCTCTCCTCATGCCACCTTGTTTTCTGACAAGACACGAATGGACCAACCCTCTGAAGCTGTAAGCAAACCCCAATTAAATGCTTTCCTTTCTAAGAGTTGTCATGGCGGGGCTGGAGGGATGGCTCGGAGGTTAAGAGCATTGGTTGCTCTTTCAGAGGTCCTGAGTTCTACTCCCAACAACCACATGGTGACTTACAACATGCATAGGGAGATCTGGTGCCCTCTTCTGGAGTGCGGGCATACAAGCAGAAAGAACACTACATTCATAATAGATAGATAGATAGATAGATAGATAGATAGATAGATAGATAGATAGATAGATAGATAGA